AAAGTAGAAATTACATCAAAGAAATAAATGGATAGGCGTACAATAAGATGAAAAATTACCTGTATTTTTGTAATAATAACAGTAATGCTGGAAATAGTAGACATTAGAAACTTGTAAGGTTTTAAATAAACAATAAATTATCATTTTACGATGTTCTTTAATATCCCTTTATTCTTAAATGTTCATTCAGCAAGGACTACATTTCAAGATTTCTGCATGTGATTATTATATGTGGCTGGAATGCAATTTTGTGACTTATTGATGGGAAACCAGTTTGAATCATTCATTCTGTTTTCTTTCGAACAAAAATGAAAATATAAAGATCCTTTTTTTATACATTTTAACTTCACGCTAATAAAAAAATACCATTTAATAAAAATGGTATTTTTTTATTTTGATAGAATAGGCTAATTCTTCAATGACAACTTATCAGACTTAGGCAACTTCTCATACATTTTATTATTGATCTTTATTGATTATACATAATTGTCTTTAATTTAAGCGATAAAAATATATAATAATAATAAATTAATGTTTTACTTGTTTTACAAATCCATATACTTTATTAAAACTAACATATATACTTTTTAATTACGAATTCTATTAAAAATTGTATTTGTCAGTATACGCAGAAATAGTCCATTAGTACCAAAACGAATTGGCTCTGCTGTCGCGCACGGAGCGAATATATGCTCGAAAGAAAAATCCCCTTTAATACATATTTCAATTGGCGCTGTCGTCACGCACGGAGCGAATACGAACTTTAGAAGTTTTAACGTCATGGGCCATACACAATAAAAATCTACAAATTTATTCTGAGGAATAGCTATTATATATACAGGGTGATTATAAATACAGACAGAAGTTAACACAAAAAGAGAAAAGAAAATATAGACCTCTATATAGGATGTCAAAAAAGTATATTACCGGGCCGCTGGCTGACGGTCTACCTATAAATTCATTTATCGATCAAGTTGACTTCATGAACCCTATCATAGGAGTGGAATAAATGAGGAATTAAATTAAAAGAAGTAAAGTATCCAAATGGTACAATTAGCCAATGAAGCTGTAGCCACCATGTTAAAATCTTATAGGGAAGGCTAGATCATTCAAGGCGGGGAGTCAAAAACAATCAAGAGTAGTTTAAAAAGAAGTCTGAAAGGATGAAAAAAGACGTAGTTATATACTGGCTCTGTCCCATTAGTGCATAATTACTTGATATTTCAATTTGTATTATAGATACATGTTTTAAATAAAAGTTATGTGGATTTTGCCTGGAAAGTAGAAACATATTTTTAAATGGAACACCCTGTATTTTATTTCAGTTTTAGAGTGGCATGGTAATATACTGTATTTTTATAACTAGAATATTTTTTAACTTATAAGGACCAAGCTGTGATGAAAGAATTGGTTCATTTCATACAGTGTTTTAATCATACATATACAGGGTACCCCAACAGTTGGTAATTGATCGATAGATATTTTATTATTGGAGATATGAAGAAATGTTTAATATAAAAGTTGTAAGACCATATTTTACAATTATTCTTAAATATATGTGGTAGTCTATAAATGAGGGGAAAATGTTGCCAAATGATGAAATTATTTTAAAAAAAAATGATAAATGAACTGAAATTAAGGAGGTCCCTTCGCCACCAATGTTAAATAAAAAATATTAGATTATGACTAAAATGTATTTTATTTCTAATAGTTGAAGTCCTTATTTATCTAATAGTGAACTTTTAACTATACCTTAACGTGCAAATTTTTGAGAATTTTTTTTTTAAAAATGTGAGTATTTGTACAGTGTCTTACGAGAAAGTAAGACTTTAACAACAATTTTCGAATTATAATTAAGTAGGTATACTATTATTTATTGATTAGATGGAGTAGAAAAAAACTAAAAATAAGGTTCTTGAAATATTTAGGTTTTGTTTTTTACAATAAAATATATAGTTTACCATGAAATTTATTGAGAAATTAATACAAAAAAAAAATTTTTCAAGTAACCTAGTTGAAAATTTTTTGTGATTTTTTAATATTAATTTCTCAATAAATTCCACGGTGACCTATATATTTTATTGTAAAAAACAAAACCTAAATATTTCAAAAACCTTATTTTTAGTTTTTTTCTACTCCATCTAATCAATAAATATTAGTATACCTACTTAATTATAATTCGAAAATTGTTGTTAAAGTCTTACTTTCTCGTAAGACACTGTACAAATACTCACAAAAAATTTCTCAAAAATTTGCACGGTAAGATGTAGTTAAAAGTTCACTATTAGATAAATAAGGACTTCAACTATTAGAAAAAAATTAATTTTAGTCATATTCTAATATTTTTCATTTAACATTGGTGGCGAAAGGACCTCCTTAAAGAAAAAAGAATCAATTTCCAAATTAATTAATTAAACATCATTTTTAAAGGAGCGTGGAGTGGTAAAATCCACCTTCAACTTTTGACAGTAAAGTGGCGTTTTGACTGAAGAATTACTGGAAAATTAAGAAGTGCAAAACATTGAGCCATTACCTACACTTAATATTTCAGGGTAAAATTTAGATTGCATCAAAGATCAATTAGAGACTTAATGCATCCCAGACAACACACCAAATCCCAGATATATCCACAGAAGATCTTCTGTGGATATCCAATATATCCACAGGGTATCATAGATATCCACTGGATCTAATATGCATATTCAAATGTCCGTCTATATCCAGGATATGGAAGATATTCTATGGATATCCAGCAAAATATCTGGGGGTATCTTTAGTAGAAGTTCATAAGTAACTAATGGATATATCGTATAGATGTTTAACATTATCAGTGTACATCCATTATTTGATATATTTAAGATATCGAAAATTATATGCCTATAGGGTGTCGTAATTAATGCTTCATTATATTTTTTTTTTTTTTTTTTTTTTGAAAGATAAGTTGAACAATGTACTCCATAATCTAAAAACATTCCATATTATGAAAATCAGCATTTCAGTAGCATAACATCGGAACGCCCTGTATTTTTGGTATATACGCCCATACAAAGTTTATATACTATTCTAATGTTAACTATTTTTGATGCTACACAGCATATAGGTATAGCATGCAGAATAAAAAGAGTATCAACATTTTATTTTTACAATTAAATATTGTACACCATACCTAAAAAACCTCCAAAATATCATTGAATATTTAAAGTAAGTTTTAAACTGAATACAACGCACGAGTTATCTAACATATAAGCATCTTACAAATAAATCTTATTCTTTATTGTTATGTCAAGTATAGTTAGGTAAAACAAAGACAAATATTATGAGCAGACTAAATATATTTAAAAAAGTAAACTATAGTATAAACATACTATTATATTAAATAACATATTACATTTAAGCTGGCGAATGAACATAGTATCCGCAGCCAAGGAAAACCTAATTACACATACACACACATTACCTATATTGGCCCCGCAATTTCAACTGGAATTTTCTTCCTAAAAAAAAAAGACGCTCTGTAGAATTCCTCAAAAAGTAAAACTATATTTTAAATCAAGCTATACCCAAAACGAAAATGAAGTCTGAAAAAAGCCTTTTATGCAGAGTGTCACTTATACAATATATAACACTAATTAATAATTTAAAAGGGCTGGATCTGTGCATATATTATACTTATTTATCTAAAATGTTGGTCCAGCTAAACATAACCTAACCTTACTTGTTAAATTCTTCATGTATGCTCTATTGAATAAAAGGCAGATATAATAAGATTACCTTAACCAGTGAAAAAAATACCTCTTTCTAATTAATTATAACAACCATTAAACAATAAAAACCAAACCGAATCACTAACAATAATAATGACACAAAATAAGTAGATAAATAGGTAGGTAAAATAACATCCATCTTAATTATAATAAAATAGGGTATCGTAAAAACGAAATTAATTTCTAGTTGTAAATTACCTAAAGAGAACACGGATTTTAACGTACATTGCATACAACCTACTTAACAATCTTAATAACGTGAATTTAACCATTGTCATATTTAACTAAAGTCTATCAACTTTTACACTAATAAATTTAGGTTTTAAAGCTTACTTACCTCCTTTTAATCCAAAATTATCAAATGAAACTCATGCACACGACACAAACAAAACGAAAACAAACTATAAAATGGCCGATGGCACCTGTGAAGGTAGAAATTATCCGCGCCTGCGCTCGCGTTCATTGCCAATATTATTTATCTAGCGGATATCTGTGGGATATTGAATACAACTCATTAATTTTAAATTTCTATAAACCATACCTACATGCTTTCTTAGTTATCACATGGCGTAATATTTAAGTAATGTAATAATTATTAAATCAATTTACATATTTTCTGATATTTAGCTATTATATCCATAAATTGCATCTAGTGGGTATCCACCATGGTTTGCGTTCGCGCCTAGACTTTGATATATTTAGTGGATATCCATGGGATATTGAATACATCTTAAAAAAAATTAATTTTAATTATCTATAAACGGTACTATTAGTCACAATGGCGTAATTATTTAATAATTTGTTATATAATTACTATTATTTATGGACTTTTGAATGTCTATAAATTACATATCATGGATATAAAATAGATATCCACCATGGGCTGGACATTCAGTGGATATTGGGATGTCCAGTATAGATATCCATAGGATTTGGAGTGCTGTCTGGAATCTTTTAAAAACATTTTTTGATTCAATAAAAGTTTAGTTAGAATACAGTTTTTTAAGTTGATTTTAGTATTAAATTAAAACCACAGCCAAACGCAGAACCTTAATCGAAAAGTATAATCTAAAAATGTAAATTGGTTTATTTAAGAAGTAAGAACAGAACGAACCCAAAAAAGTAGGTACTCATAATTTATAATATAAAAATAACAGTAAGTTAAGCATGTTTTAACACAAGTAAATAAAAAGATATTAACATTAACAGAATGAATTGGACGAAAAGAAACAAAGCACAGTAATTTTATCACTTTATTTAAAATATAAAATACTTTTTACATCACTCTTATACACTAATAATTAATGAAAAAAATTTAACCTAAAACCATAAGCCTCGGAGCGATATTCATTGACATCAGTTCTTGGAACAGCAATTTCGCAGCATACGGCAATCGCACCTGCGATATCTGCGTCTTATTCTTGCATCCCTTGCACTCAAATGTGTTATTCCTCATATTCGCTATCGCTATCAACCCACAGAAATTGCAAACATGGATCCTGTATGGATCAGACACCTCGAACAATCTTTCTCTGAGAAACTGAGCAGCACCGTGGGATATTTGACAATCACGCTCCATCTCTCCAAAACGCAAACCCCCGTCTCTAGCACGACCCTCCATAGGCTGTCTGACGAGAATCTGCAATGGCCCTCTGGCTCTGGAATGGATCTTATCGTCCACCATGTGCTTCAATCTCTGATAGTAGGTAGGACCCAAGAAGATCTGGGCATTGATCTTCCTTCCTGTATGTCCGCTGTACATGACCTCGTTGCCTCTGAGTTGGTAGCCATATTCCTGGAGGAGGGTAGAGATCTTCTGTACATTGACAGCGTCGTTGAAGGGAGTAGCATCCCCGATTTCGCCCTTGTTGGACGATACTTTGCCCTGGATGCACTCGATCAAGTGACCAATTGTCATACGGGATGGAATAGCGTGCGGGTTGATGACGATGTCGGGCGCGATCCCTTCGCAGCTGAAAATCATATCCTGAAAAAAACATGTAACTTTTATATAAAGGAATAAATCAATGGTAACAAGATAGCTGACTAATTTTTTATTAATTTACTGTATAATTCCTTTATGGCTAGCACAGATTACCGTTTCACAGTAAATTCAAATTCTTTCAGCCCAAAACGGCCTCCAACGAACCTGTTTTTTTTTAACTACCAGAGTTTTTGACAACCCCCATTGACAAGATAAACATTCCGAACCCGTGTTCGATAACTGAGGCTTAACTAGGCTTGACAAATATAAAAATTGGTACTGTGAGAACTGTATACTGTGTTGTCTAACGGCAATATGAACCGTTACACAGTCAATGAAAGTGATTTTTAAAAATTATAACAGTTTCATTAGATTATTCAACTACTGATCTTCGTTAATAAAAAAAAATGTTTATTGTTCAACCCCAATTACAAGAACAATAATAATGGATTGTAATATAGTTTCTTACTTCTTGTCGGTACTGAATTCCACAGGTACCCTTCTGTCCGTGTCTGGAAGCGAACTTATCACCAATCTGTGGTATTCTAACGGAACGCACTCTAATTTTGCAAAACTTGTATCCCTCGGAATTTAAGGTCAACATAACCTGATCGACGACTCCAGTTTCACTGTTACGCAGGAAAGTGGAAGCGTCTCTTTTGGAATAACGTTTTGTGGTGCCGTCCAACTAAAAATAAAAATAAACTATTTTAAAAACAAATACAGGTAAATCATAATGTATACATTTTGAAATGTGAAAATACAGAATAAGGAATCCATTCACATCCCTAAATTGAAATCAAACTAAAGAAACATTTTGGTTTTCGTATCTTTAACTGATGTATTCTTTACTTTCTTTCAAATCATTATATTTTATTCACCTCATCGTCGTTTTCTGGCAACGTCATCGTTTTTCCGATAACTACGTCGTCTCCTGAGACACGAATGCCAGGCGAGATGATGCCGTCGTCGTCTAATTTATCATAGAGGGCGTTTCTCATGCCTTGACAGGTTTGCCTTGTGGGTTTTTCGAATTGTTCTTCTTGATCTCCTATTCTTTTTGATTCTGCATCTTTGTATGAACGGTAGAACACAGATCTGCAGAAATAATAATAAGAATGAAAACAATATTGTAGATTATTTATTGCAACAACTGTGATACGTTACCTAAAGAATCCACGCTCAACAGCAGAGGAATTCAAAATGACAGAATCTTCCTGATTGTACCCAGTATAACAAGCGATAGCTACAATGCTGTTAATTCCAGCCGGCAATTCTCTGAACCGGAGATACTCCATGGATCTAGTAGTGACCAGCGGTTTGTGTGGATAGTACAACACGTGAGCCAGAGTGTCCATTCGAACGTGGAAGTTAGTTATGTACACGCCCATGGCTTGTTTACCCATAGCGCTTTGATAAGTGTTCCTGGGACTCTGGTTGTGATCGGGGAACGGTATAATTGACGCGCAAACGCCCAGGATCATAGCCGGATGAATTTCACAGTGAGTGTAGGTGGTACAGTAGGCGTACTCTTTGTCTTGACGTAAATCTTCAGGGTTCATAGCGATCATCACAGTTTCCTCTTCTAGGGTGTCGATATATTCCACCACGCCTGTAATGAAAATGTAACGAAACATTTTTTAAAAAGAAAATTTATTATAGTAAAAACAGATATTGTTTAAATTTTCATGCATATGGTTCCAATACTTAATTTATACTAACCAGAAGCTACCAGCACCTGCCACCCGTAATTATTGTATTCTCTTTCTTTCAACATATCGACGTGTCTCTTTTTGAGAAGAAGCTGGCCATTTTCGACGATCAAAAGCGGCCTACAAATCCTCCCGGCGTCCGTATAAATCCTGATCTCCCTATCACGAATATCTCTAATCATGGATACCTCTGATACGATAATGTCCATCTGTCTACGAAGCTTACGGAGAGTGGCCATGAGTTGTTCGGGGTCTCGGTGGATGCCGACCTTTTAAAATGAATAATCAAATTTTTCTATTATAGTCAGGTCACTGTTAAAATTCAGTACAGGTAATATAATTATTTAAAACGAAAAAAAGTCCGAATAAAAAAAAAAGATTAACTAAACTTGATGACACCAGCAACCAACATTTTGTAACCACAGTTGCTCCCAAAATTTATAATAAGCTACTGAACATAAAAAATATAACCAAATAACATACAGGGTGTACCAATAAAAATTCCCAGGCCGGATATTTTGGTAAGTAATAGATATATTTTAATTCTGTAAAAGCCAGTTCACAGAGCACTAAGAGAGCTTCAGATTTTAAATAAGTCAATATGTAGATGGCGCTGCGCTCAATATTTTTTTTCGATTGGAGGAGCTTTCTTGTGTAGCGCATCTGGTAAAAAATGCATTTTTAAGCAGATTTGTTCTATAAACTAATTCGATAAATCTAGCCATTTTTGGTATAGAGTGGGTCACAGAAAATGTTAAAACTGGTCGATTTTTATTGCAAATTAAAAACATTTTTCCAATACAGGCATCTGTCAACCCCCTCCCTTTCACTTCTCAAACACCTTATTTTTAAAAAGGTAATGTACCATGTATGACACATCATTGAAAAGGTAATTTAATGGGGGATTCAGAAATATTTCTGTACACTGCGTTACTTAAATTTTATCGCCCTCTAGCGGGATACAAAACTACTACGTATTATAGAGTGTGACACTACAATGTGTAGTTCATCATTAAAAAGGTAATTTTATGGGGAACTTAGAAATATGACTGTTCATTTCGATACTTTTAATTGTACCGCCCTCTATCGTGATAAAAAAACTATACGTATTATAAAGTGTTGTACCTTATTTGAAAGCAAATTTAATTACTAATTCAATGCACCATAATACATTAATTAAATATCCTCCATATTGTACTTGCAATAGTTTGAAAATTAGTCATGCATTATTTTAAACATTATTGCTAACTTTATTTTGTTGCAAGTGCAATATGGAAATATTTATATTAATGTTTACATTGAATTAGTAATTAAATTAGCTTTCAAATGAAGTATCACACTTTATAATACGTTAGTTTATTTTATCACGATAGATGGCGCTAAAATTAAAAGTATCGCAATAAACAGTCATATTTCTGATTTCCCCATAAAATTACCTTTTCAATGATGTGCCGTACATGGTACATTCTTTTTTTTTTAATTAAGGGGTTGGAGAAGTGGAAGGGGGTTGACACATGACAGATGTCTCTAATGTAAAAATGTGTTCAATTTAAAATAAAAATCGACCTGTTTTAGCATTTTCTAAAAATCTAATGATTACTGCCGAAAAACAGGATGAAACTGTTTTGAGTGACTCACTCTGTATATCAAAAATGGCTAGATTTATCGAATTAGTTTATAGAACAAAATATGCTCAAAAATGCATTTTTTATAAGATGCGCTATATAAGAAAGATCCTCCCATCGAAAAAAAAAAAAAATATTGAGCGCAGCGCCATCTACATATTGAACTATTTAAAATTAATTTATATCTAAAACTAAAGCTCTTCTAGCGCTCTATGAACTGGCTTTAACAGAATTAAAATATCTCTATTACTTACCAAAATATCCGGCCTGGGAGTTTTTATTGGTACACCCTGTATGCTTCAGTTAAGAGCTAAACAAGATATTATATATTCATTTAAGGATTTGTGTAAAATGACTGAAACATCCAGAGATAACAGGAGATGTAGCTATTCATTGATAGAATAAAATATTTTTGCTGCCAACATCAATTTGACATTCAAAACGCTCCAGTTGTCGGTCCGGAGTGAAGAGACGTGTGGTGAGAGGTAAAATAGGGAATAAATAAAAGGATTTTATGGTGATGCTATTTTTTATATCAATGAATATATGTGTAAACGGCGCTTGTGCGCTTATAATAAAACAACGTAGAAAATGCAAGTACCAAATACTTGATATACAACTTAACATTAACTAGGTTTTGGGATTTATTTAAAATTATTACATCTAATTTAGTTAAATTTGATACAACATTTTTGGGGTTCAGGTGCAATAACATAGGTTGAATTAGTTTAGCTTTTTTAAGATATGTAAATAATTTTGTAAATAAAACGAGAATAATGAAATGGGCATGACAACATCGTATTTTATACCCTCCTGTGTCCCTTAGAATATGTCTTATTCACTACAGCACGATATTTGTAATTACATCTCCTATTATCTCTGGACATATCCCACTACTGAAAATTAATTAAAAATGAAACTGTTGCAAAAATATTTAAAGTTGCGAATAATCACAATGCTAACTTACATTTTTAAGTAAACTTTCATGTATTTTTTTTTTATTAATTATTGTAATTAATAAAAATAAAACTAGCAAGTTGATGCTCTAGTAATGGCATGAATTTAAATACTAACAAATGTCACATTATCCGATTTTGTAGCAGCCATCATTTAATAACGTATAATTATATTTATTTCCTGGATTCTGTCGATCAATTCAAGGATCTATGGATCACCTTTGACACTTCCATGAGCTTTAATTGCCATATCACTGCTAGTTCAAAAATCAATGAAAATGCTGGGCTTTGTCAAGAGGACAACTCATGATTTCACTAATCTAAACCCAATTAAAATTCTATACCCTTTACATTTTACTTTTTATAATAGAATATTTTTAACAATCGATTCGGGTTTACAATCAATTCTTTTTTACAATCTTTTTTTACAATCATCTTTTTACAATCGATTATTTTTGATCACAGTTACTATTTATAATAATTTATTATTTTTTTTATAATTTTTTTACAATCTTTTCATTTTTATAATCGATATTTTTGAATCGATTATTTTATTTTTTTAATTGATTATTTTTTATTCAATACTTTTTACAATGGATTTTTCACAATCTTTTCTTTTTACAATCGATACAGAATAGATACTTTTTATAATCGCTTCTATTTTTTTAAACCAAATAGATCAAAATAGAAATAACAAATTATGCAGAAAGTAGATTACTATTACCTGGATATGATGATATAAGGCACTTTACAAAAAAGTGACCAGTTTGATATTGAATAGGGCTAGAGACTGAGTACCCTATATTATTTTTAGCTACTATTTTACAAAATGAACTATCACAAGTCATCCAAAATTCCAATGTAAGTGGCATCTCAGTACTAAATTTTAACTGCAGTATAGTTCTCAATCAACTTGTTGAACTTACCCAGCAACCATTTACAAATATCTTGGTAGCGTTTGCGATAGCGGACGGTGCAATTTCTTCCAAATTTTCCATAGACCACTCCTCCAAAAACTCCAAAATGGGCGACGGTTGGGAACCCACAGAAATGTAAGCCATCAGCGCGAGATTCTTCACCAAACCTACAGCGGCCCCTTCGGGCGTCTCTGCCGGACAGATCATGCCCCACAATGTGTTGTGCAACTGACGCGGCTTGGCTAACTTTCCATCTCGACCGATAGGCGAGTTGACACGTCTCAAATGCGACAATGTCGAAGCGAACGTCAGTCTGTTCAATACTTGGGATACTCCGGCTCTAGCTTGATGGGCTTTCTTTTGATCGCCCCAATTACCAGTAGCCAAAGAGTATCTCAAACCGTCTGTAATCAGTTTGGTTTTGATGGCCAAATCCAGATTAAAATCTTTGCCTCTGTCGATGAATTTTTGCGCGTACATTCTGACTTCTTTCATCAGATTTTTGAATAAACTAAAAACGGAAGATGGTTAATGTGAAACATGTATAATGTTCGTCTTAAGTTGGTTCTTACCCTCGGAACAGGAATGCCAATAGTGGTCCAGCCAAATCTAATCTCTTATTACCGTAGTGATCACGGTCGTCTAATTCACGGCGACCGAGGGCTGCTAGAAGAAGTCTATTAACCATGTACCTAAAACCAGCCAGTTGTCAATTAATCAAATGCTTAAAAATTATATTTTCCAGAAATGTTAAAATTATTAGTACTTACCCCAAAAAATAAGCCTTCTTAGTCTCGCAAAAATCTGAGACACCCACGTGGGGTAACATTTCCTTCTGCAAAATTTCTCTAGCATATTTGACACGTTTCTCTTTGGTGACACCGGGTCTAGCACCTCTTGCTCCAATAAAATTCAAAGCAATGTTTTGCTCCTGGATAACAAAAGCTTCATCTAAAGATGGCTTCACCATTTCCATCAATTCTGGGTCATCAAAGTCGTAAATAATGTGCTCTAATATATCTCTGTCTGCTACAAACCCTAGCGCCCTGAATACAATCATTATAGGTATTTCTTGTTTGATGTAAGGAAGAATGGCGATAATACGTTGACCTATAGCTGCTTTTTTAATTGCCTGCCCACCTCTGGCCATCATGTTAACCCAAAGAGTTGAAGTCGGTCTGGAACTGTGCTCAAGACAAGATCTAATTTCAGATTTGTAAGCGTATTTGCCATCTTTCATCGCGAATACGTATACAGTATTGGTGGCCATTTTTTCTTGCGCAATGAGTACTTTTTCTGAACCGTTTATTATGAAATAACCCCCAGGATCTAGGGGACATTCGTTCAATTCTGTCAAATCTCGATCCGTTAGACCGCTGAGAAGGCAATACGTGGAACGTAACATAATAGGGATTTTTCCTGTAAAAAAAATATTTGTCTTCAATAGTTTGTGATCAAACTGAAAAACAAAGTTCTTGTTTAAATGACGGATATAATTGTTTGTAAATAATTCGTTAAAATTTGTATTGGTACCTGAAAAGAAGCGATACGATATGCCCTCTACTGTGAACACAATTTATAGCCCTTGGCGATTGAAGATCTACAGTTTCTAAATCTACAGTTACTTGGATTTACTAATATTTATTTTATTCTTCAGTAGAAATATAAAATACAATAGAATATACAAAAATTAATGAAGGAAATATTAACATGAAAAACTTAAAATTAGAATATTAGCATATTATTTATCTCACACTATAAGTGAGTACATACTTATATTGTGTGGTGAGAAAAAAATAGCGTGAAATGAATACATAGATAAATAGATATCAGAAATGAAAAAATAAGAAAGCGAACATTTACAATACATACAATATAAAATGTGGAGAATGAAGAAATACAAATTAGGAATATAAATGAAAAATAGTTGTTCTGTATATGTGGTTCGATAGTTGAAGAGAATTTCTTGAGGTTAATACATTTTCGAATGGTAAGAGGTAATAAATTATAAGCTTTAGGTAGAATATATGTTACAAAATGGTGACTAATATTCTTGTTGTTACGTGGCGTAACAAGTAGCTGGTTCATTGTGTCCCATGTACTATATCCATGATTTAATGCTTGCTGACAATGGGTTTATTATAGGTTTATTATAATGTTTACAGAATACAATTTTTATTATTAATAATACAAATTCAAATTATAAATAAAATATATAAAAGCAAATAATAATAATAATAATAATATTAAAAAAAGTACAAGGTTGTGCACCTAAGTGATTGAACACTTGTGTTGTGCAACTCCATAAATATTTAACAAAAATTTAATATTTAGTAAACATTTTTTTTACATGAACGAGCACTATAAAATTTAATTATTTTGTTTATTCTAAAATATTAACAAAATCAATGTAATTTTCAAAAATAAATTTTCTAGAAACTCTAGACTTGAGTATTGCAGCATTGAGAGCCTTATTCTTGGCCTATGTTAGATTAACCCTTAAATATGCCTCTGATGCTTGGTCCCCGTATTATTCTGTGCATATCGAAAAGATAGAAGCTGTTCAAAATCGATTTCTAAGAACTTATGCTCATAGAATGGGATACACACAGTGTACTTACAACCACAAAACGATTGTAAGTCTCTTAAACCCAGAGTTTTTGTTTATAAAAAATATATTAATGATCTATTGTTTTTACATAAAGTTTTATATCATGTTTATCATTTCATGTACCAACTAGGTTAATGCTTAATGTAGTTTTGTTTCAGCTTCCACAGCATAGAACTAGAGTTACTTTAATTCTTTATCTAAAGTTATGCGCCTTTGTAATAATTATCTCTGACATAATAGTAACCTTTTTACAATAAATTTAAGAAACAACTTTGTCATGACCTAGACTCAGCTAGAGTTATGTAAAGTATGAATAACATGATCAAAGGTTTACTAAAATCAGAATATATTGTGTCTACTTGCCTATTTCAAAGTATTTATTATAAGTATAAGACAGATTAACTTAGAACCATTTATAAATAATAAATAAATCTTTATTGGTCCTTTTTGATCACTATACAATGATGTAGGATATATCAAGATACATGTAGTGGACAGAACTTAATTTAAAATCTACATTTAAATATACACACAACCAAACTTATATGGAATCATCTATTATTTTTCATAATTTTTGAGATGTATGAACATTTTTTGTTTATGAATAAAACTCGGTCCTTACCAAAGACTTTTAATGACAAATAACCCACGTAGCAATAAAAATAATTAATTAGTTGACAAAATAAACACAATGGTATTTTTTTGGTTTCTGAAACGAAATGAGATTTAAATTTTTAATAGCCGAAAAGGAAAACCAGAAAGAAAATTGGTAATTTTAACAATCCGTGTTATCACCTCTAACCCTTATGCAAGCTTCTATTTGCCATGCTTCTTATTAAATTGTCAACATTGTCTTGGGATGTTTTCCCATTCTGCTAATGCTGCATCAATAAGCTGTGCGACATTTCCTGCATTGTTTCGACGAGCTCTAATCCTTCTTTTGAGCTGGTCCCACAAGTGTTCGATAGGATTTAGGTCTGGACATATCTCGGACCGGTTAAAGTTTGTTGAAGTGGTAACAATGGAATTTTTGCTTCCCACATAATACCTGCCTAAAACATTACAGTTCCTCTTTGATATCCTGGGACATATCTGGCAGCGTGGAGTCTCGCTCATCTTCATGGAGCTCTGAGAACCCGAATTCGATGGTCATCTGATCTTAGGCCAATTCTGATCTCATTCAAAAAAAAGAACATTTTGCCAATTCTCAATTGTCCAGTTTTGGTGTTGGAGGCACCAATTTAGCCAGTCAGTTTTATTTTGCCTAGATAACGGTGGGACCTGTAACTCTTTCCTACTGTACAAACCTCGTGGGTGAAGTCTATTTCTCAGAGTTTCAATTGAAATGTTCACACCTGTAGCCTCCAGAAGTTATCGTTTTAACTCTAGATGGGAAACACTGGGATTTCGTCAAGTAAATTGGCATACAAAGCGGTCCCGTTGTAGTTGTGACTCTTTAACTACTTTGTATGAGTCTGTTCTTGAGAGATTCTAGTTTCAAGTAACTTTCATATGTTTTCGATACAACACCCTGGGTATCGCTTACTACCTCTGCTACGTCTCATTGGGGCATTCCTTGTTCAATGAGAGCAATAATTCTCACCCCTCTGCATATCTGTTAGTCCAATATAAGGCATTTTGTTTTTTTGGACCGAAATAAAATTACCGGAGGATCGTGATTTTACTTCTGAACACAAAATTCACAAGATAATAAATCTCAACAGTCGTTTCTTCTTTATTATCATGTTTGTTAAGAACAAAAGGCCTTATCTTAAAGTTAGTTACCAAATTTTTTCCTTACAAAACGTTTATTCAGAAATACACAGTGATTCCATATAAATTTGGTTGTGTGTACATATACATACATACACATATACATTACGTTACCTAGTAATAATCCTTAATATTATAAAAACATTGTTACTAAAAAAATTTTTAATGTTTGTTTAAAGCTGTTAATGGATTTTATGTTTTTAAAATCAGCTGGCAGTTTATTAAATAATTGAATTCCTGCATACTCAGGACTATGTTCATAAAGAGCGGATACATGCCTAATTGTACATAACATATTGCCATTACGAGTGGGATAGTTGTGACAATCATTGTTCCTGAAATATTTAGCTTCATTTTTTTTTTGTATATAGGATTGTTTTATAAATATATATTGAGGATAGAGTGAGTATGTGATATTTAATAAAATGATCCCTACATGTTTGTCTTGATTCCAGATTAAAGATAAGACTAATTGCTCTTTTTTGTGCAATAAATACTCTTGTAGCAGCAGGAGAATTTCCCCAGAGTGTAATATTGTATGATATGTATGAATATACAATTGCATAATATACCTGTAGAAGTAGGTTAAATGTAAATATCTGTTTTAATTGAAGTAGAGCATAACAACCGCTATTAACCTTTTTACAGATGTAATTAATATTCAATTCTCAGCTCATATCACCATCTAGCAGTACTCCCAGAAATGTTATTTTCTGCAACAAGTAGACATCATTGCAATTTACCTTTACACATATATTACCATAAATTCTATTCCTTGAAAAAAACTGAAGAGCAACTGTTTTATCAGAATTTAAGATTAAGGAATTTTTATTCCACCAAGTTGAAAAATCTGAAGCTACTAAGTGAAGCTTCTGCTGCAGCTCATCTGGAAAAGTTGTATTGTTGGCATAGAGTATGGTATAATCTGCAGACATATGTTGAGGAAGATCATTTACATATAACAAAAATATTAGTGGTCCCAAAACTGAGCCTTGTGATACTCCTTGGGTTAGACTTTTCAATTCTAATTTACAGTTACCCACTTTTACACACATCTGACGTGAATCTAAGAACTTAGCCATTTTAAAATTATGCCCCTGAAACCTAATGCCTGTAATTTATTTTGAACAATGGATATGTCAATTGTGTCAAAAGCTTTGGACAAGTCAAACAAGGGTGCACCCACATACTGTCCCCTATCTAGCTGTCAATATATATATTTGAAGAAAGCAGTAGTTGCACTCTCGTTGACCTGTCTGGAAGAAAACCATGTTGATGTTCAGTTAGGATATTAATTTTTTTTTAGAAAAGATAACATTTGTTGACCTACACATTTCCTAAAAACTTTACATATTATAAAGGGGATTGTAATAGGTCTGTAGTTATCCGCTGACAAGAAACACCCTTTTTTAAAGATTGGTGTTACAAGCCCAATTTAAAGAGCGTTTGGGAAGATTCCGAGTAACAAGGAATTAATGAATTGGCAGTGTATGGGGCAATTATCTTAATAATTTTTGTGGAAATGCAATCAATTTCTTTGGCATTGGTATTATTTAGAGATGCAATTGTTTCTATCACTTGTTCATAATCCACTTCTATAAACTGAAATGTGTTTGGAACAAACATAGTGGTGTAATTAATAAAAGTAGTGTATAACTAGCAAGTGAAGAAAAGTATCCTACAAACATGTTGGCAATATCTAAGTTTTCTGTTAATCTTATTTATTTACGGGTCAGAGCCTATTAAAACAATACAATTACAGAGAATACATATCACATACATTAAATAGTAATAAAATCCTAAATAATAATAATAATAATAAATTAATTTAAATACATAAATATTAAAAAACAATTTAAAAAAATCTACTCCTCACATATACATAAATGGTTAGAAAAATCTGATGGAGAAGTAATCCATTTAGTCTGTTAGCAGATCTTGTTACTCTAGGAATGAAAGAGTGAGAACCATAATTTGTTCTGTTTTTCACTAAAATTAGCAATTTTTTTGTTTATTCAGTTCGGAATTAACAGTTTTCCATACAAAAGTGCATACCTCTTTTTTTCCATTTTGTACCGTTCCAATATATGACTATCAGAAACATTTTTTGTGAGCCAATACATATTTTTTAAATGATTTCCCATTTTAACAATTATTTACCCATTTTGTATTATATCTGTTTTCAAAAATTTTTATTTACCATTGGAGCTTCAAAAATAAGTGAAAAATCTTCCTGTGACATTATCAAGGATAGACTACATAAATTTGCATAAGAAGTATTTCTATATGAAACAGTTTTCATGTTTTCTTTTTGAGAATGCGTTATAGTATGCTCATAGTGATCACCTAAATAAAAGTCTTGTACTATTTCTTTGTAATCGTAACTACAATTTGTTAAAAAATAATCTATTTTTGATTTAGAAATTTTCCCATTATTGTCAAGTTACTCTGGTCGATTCTATATTTTGACATTGTAAATTAAAACTCTCCATTAGATCCGTTAACAGAGTTTTTCACGACTTTCATTTAAAAAATTTATATGAAAAACTTTACAAACCATTACAGTATCATAAGAATTGTACAGAAAAGTTAAAACGTCACACATTTTATGTAAAAATAATTCAGTGGAACTGTCAGGCAATCTATATATACAGATTATACAACATTTTATATTATTTAGGCTAAATGTAATTCCACAACATTCAAACAGACACTCTTCAGAGAAACTTTTAATAAAAATTAGTTTTTTAAAATTTAAGGAATTTTTGACAAAAATAACAGTTCCTCCATGTATTTTAGTTTTGCGGTAATATCTGTCAGCTACAATAAAATCTTTAAACGATTTGTTTTGTTGTTCATAGATTGAGCATTAACATAAATAATTTTAAATGTATTTGTTTTAGAGACATTAATTATGTTATTCGTTCAGGGTTCAGAGCTTGCTGAAAATTCTCATTATTTAATTCAATTTGAGTACTATCTTTATTTGAACTAACATAATCATTACAGTTAAGATAAATCTTTCAAGAAAATTTTCATCACAATCTTTTACATTTTGATGAAGACTTTCCATTTCCATATCATCAGAGAGGATACTAATATTACTTTAATATCGTTTCCGCCAGCGGCGGCCTGGTCCCCAATTTTAACTAAATTATTTGGGCTCTTTTCTAAACATATTTTATTTTTAAGTAAAAATGACAATTTAAAATTATTTATTTTATAGGTACCCTTTCTCCTTACTAATATTTAAAAAAGAAAAATAATTTTGTTGGTACCAACCCACATAATTTAAGAAATCTTCTACTAGTTTAGACTTAAATTTAATAGTCTTCACATGCACTAAATATAAGCAACTGGAAAAAATAATCAAGTTCAAAACTGTTTCTGAAGTCTTTTTAACTGTCTCTTAAATAAAAAAAAAGTTGTGCAATGAAATAGCATAACAAATAAGACTCACCTATAAATGTTTTCTGATGCTGCGTTTCAATAGGCTCTTCGCCCTCTTTCACAATAGTTTTTGTTATATCAACATACAAAGGTGCTGAATAGGTCAAGTTTCTCAATCGAGCCTCATTAGGCATCATAGGCGACGGTGCACCGTCTTTTTCCCAATGTGTAGGTTTCGACAAGTAAATCTGCTCAAATTTTAACAAATACCTGGGAGGATTTTCAATTTCGCCTGACGTGTGTTGCGCTTCTGCTTGTAGATCGATTTGTGGAGAATCTTCCACGATTCTTTGTACGGACATTTGAATGAACTCATCGAAACTGTCGAGCTGTTGCCGTACCAAACCTTTTTCGTCGAAATATGCATTAATGACTATCCAGCAGGCTTCTTGCCAAAGTTCCGCACTGATTTCTTCGGTGTCTTCATCGTCAAATTGATCTGGAAATATATTCAATGAAAAAAGTTATTTTTTCCTAAAATTAATACTGACCGTCTTCCTGTTCATACATCTTGTAGGATTTTCACAATTTTTTATTTATAATACTATAAGAAAATTCTATACAAACAAGCTTTAGATATCCAAACGATTTGTCTAATCTAAAAATAGTGGAACGGACATAGAAAAACTAAAGGAGAGGCATGAGGATAGTTAAATTAATATTAATTTATCTATGAGAATATTGAGAATGAGTGCAAATGAAAATGGAAACAAATCGAAATTCTGCGTGTTGACAATAATGACAATTGAAGTTAGATGTTTTTAGAGTACCAAAAAAGAAGACCATCTTTGACTTTTACCGGGTTCAGTGAACTTATTGGCTGCATTCTCAAATCAGCACGTCAATATATAAAAAACAAGAAGTTTTTGTCATCGAATAGTCGTACAGTCACAGGCCAAAAGTTTGCTAACGATTTGAAACTATCAAAAACAGAAACAACATCATCAGGGGGTCAATTCTCGACTTGTAGGAACCTTTTCCTATAGGAATTTGTGACACTTTCCTACATGTAGACAAATGTCATAAATTTCCGATGTGTAGAAAAATGTCAAAAATTCCTATAGGAAAAAATTCCTACGAGTCGAGAATCGACCCCCTGCAGTATTAAAAATGCTAATTTTCTGAATAATGAATATCAGAAATCGGAACAATCGGCAGAGTCATGTCTTGGCAAGTAACTGTTCTAACACAAAAGAAGAAGTAATGACACCTGACATTTACGATAAGGGTGACAGTTGACAGTGACAACTATTGGTAAATAAATAAATAATTCCAATTCCAGCACTAATAATAAATTATTTACAGCAATTATTATAAGATGACGGAGAAAAAACCGAACCCTTTGGATATTAACGGGCCCAATTTCAATCCAAATATGTATTTAGATAAAATATTTAAGGTATGAACATTCAATTTGTGCATAATCATCGAAACCCTGGAACTTTGTCTACATATCAAATATTTTAATTGGTTTCTTTCTTTGCTGTACATTTCTAACCATTTTTTAGGAATATTCTTTAAAACAAATTTTGGATCATGAAAACGAAGTTGTTAAAGACACACAAACCTTACATTCTGATATGCAAACCTTAGTTTATGAGAATTATAATAAGTTTATATCAGCAACAGACACAATTAAAAAGGTATTTATTATTATAAATACTTAGTGACCTAGTAGGTGTGCTTAAGGATAATTTTTTTTATAGATGAAAAATGATTTCAAGAAAATGGAAACTGAAATGGATTTACTGGCTTCAAATATGGCCTCAATAACATCATTCTCTGACCAAATTAATGATACACTGCATGATACAAGACAAAAAATTAACAAATTATCAGGAGTTCATGCATTACTTCAAAAACTGCAATTTCTCTTCAAATTACCAACTACCCTTAAATCCAGAATGGAAGAAAAAAATTACATACAAGTAAGATTTGACCCAATTTTAGTTTATAAATATTTTTTATTGAAATCTAAATTTATTTTTAGGCCACCCAAGATTACCTTCACGCCCAGAGAGTGTTACATCAATATGGTGACATGCCATCCTTCCAAGGTATCAAAACAGACTGCGAATCAATACTGACTGAACTAAAAGCAGAACTAAGAAAGCAATTTTGCAATACTAATGCCTCAGCCAAAGAACTGACAGAATCCGTGGATTTATTATTAAAATTAAACGAACCAGCAAAGGAGCTTTGTACAGAATTTTTATCTTGTGCTGAAAAGCGTTTGGCTGAACAGCTCGTCATGTTGAAAGATCAGAGCGAACAGAGGGACATTATAGAGTTTGTTGATTTGGGTTGTTCTGGTTTTTTGAGCGATTTATGCTTGATAGTTGCCTCGTTTCATGATATGTTCATAAATAGGGTTCATATGGAACATCTAGAAAATAGGTTAGTATTTTATTAATTTAACCCAGTTGTGGCTCAATAGTTCAGGCTGAAAGCTGAATTTGATGTCCTCTTCTTCAGAAACATACAACACAGAAATTAAAGAAACCTACATAAAAATAATATTCTAAATATGAATACAGTCTTATCACCTATTAGAATAAACATTATTACAAACATGACATATTAATATAAATAAAATATATTTTGTTTCAATTTCCTACTTAAAAATGGTAAACACTTCACTTATATTTAAGCGGGTCATTAAGATATATAAGAATTAGTAGAGGCCTCAATACAGATCCTCGAGGAACCCCACATTTAACAAGATCTTCCTATACACAATAAAAATATATTTTTTTCATTAATTTTTGTAGTGATATTTTTGAAAATTTTGCTGCAGTCGAACTGGATAGTTTCGTAAAAGATAATATGAAAAAATATTTTGAATTGGTACAGAATAAAGTTGATTCTGAACAGGATGTAGGAGATACTAGTATATTAGTGCAAGCGCTAGATAGATTTTATAAAAGAATAGAAAGCAACACTCTCTGTAAAGACATAGATTTTGCAAAGTAAGTACAATTGCCACCTTATCTATTTTGAACTTTCAGCTTTCTCTTACTCTAAATGTAGTTCAAAGTAACATATCACAATGTTTTGTAGTGTTGCATCTGAAATAGTCATTAATGCAGGCAGGAAACAGTGCAAGGCGCACTTGCAAATTTTGAAAATGCATTTCGCAGATTCTTTAACAAAAATTAGGCAAACTCTGACCACCCCTAAGTTAATTACCCAAGAAGAGACTTCAAAGAATCTCAATGAATTGCTGAATTCACTGGTTATTACTGTTGTGGAAAAAGTAAAAGGAGTTTTACAGGATTTAGTTGTAAGTGTTTCATTTTAAAAAATATTTACAATATTGTTGCTCATAAAAAGATATTTGATAATTTGATATTTTTTTAGGTATTCCTTCAACCAGACGTTAATTTCGCTAATAAGCCACAGTTCAAAGACAGCTTTTGCATTGACAACGTTAGAGAAGGTTTGATTGTATGTTTTTTACACCATTTAACTGCGACTGCTAGAAGTTTTTGTGCCAAAGGTGCGTCGGATCCAAAAGTGCCACCAACTTTACTACTCCTACTTTCCAAATTCTGCATAGACTTTCAAAACGGAAACGTACACTTTCTGGTAAATATTTTATTTTTACTTTATTTTAATATTTTTTAGCAATAAAATGTTCCACCAATTTTATGTTCCTTTTTTTTTACTTTCCTATCTGTATACAGATAAGGAAAGTATAGGAATCATGATTTTTTTCGACCTCGAGTTTTCGACGGTTTTTTACGTTTTGGGGTTCCCTGAATCTGTTTTGACTATTTTTACGATGATGTCTGTGTGTTAGTGTATCAGTGTGCATGTGTGTCTGTATCCTCGATAACTCATGAACTGATACAAAGAAAAACACCAAATTTTAAACTTAAGTTTTATTCCGGCCTGAGGGGAAATGATTAGATTTTGGACAAAGTCGGAACATCTGGTGGGGTACATTATGGGTGGCCGTTTTTATATTTTATGGAATATATCTGTTATTTACGTTTGGAGAAGAAAATTCTTCAAATAAAAGTTACTTATATTATTATTATCTATAATTATTTTACAATACAAAATTTTCCTAAAATGGTCCGTATTTGAGAAATTTGACAAAATGTAAAAAAAATATTTTTTTTATAAAAATTGCTCAAATAAAAGTTGTTTGTAATATAATTCTTTATATTTTTTGTTTCATACATAATTTCTCTAAATGGACCGTATTCGAGATATTTGAGAAAATGTGTTAATTAAGAATTTTGAAGAAAACTCAAAAAGGGATAAAGGAACAAACATTAAATTTTAAACTTAAGTTTTATTTCGGCCTGAGGTGAAATGATTAGATTTTTGACAAAGTCGGAACATCTGGGGGATACTTTATAGGAGGTCGTTTTTATATTTTATGGAATAAGTATATCTGTTATTTATGTTTGGAGAAGAAAATTGTTCAAATAAAAGTTACTTCTATTATTATTATCTATAATTTTTGTTTTATACCAAATTTTCCTGAAATGGTGCACACCGCTTATGGAAAAGTGGCGACCTGTTAAATGTTATAAATTTTTGACATGTTGCAGTTCTCGACCTCCTAAGCAATAGTGTCCACGGGACCATTCAAATCCTATGACTGGTTTTTGAGATACAGGGTGTTAAACTTAAAAAATACCACTTATTTGATAACGGTTATTTCAGGAGAAAGCTAATCCATTATAATTTTTTGTTTTAAATCTTATTGTAATATCCTTTGGCATTCTACGAATATAAAAAAAGGTCAAAAATTATTTTCTTTTACAGGGTGAGCCACAAATAAGTAAGGACGTGTTTTTGATAAATACATTTAATGTTCTAGAAGATAAAAATATTTACTAAAAAATAAATTATTGCCATATTTATTATGTCTGATGATAATACAAAAGATATTAGGTGCCAATTATACAGGGTGATTCGTAAATATTGACATAGGCCAATATTTTTTTTTATAAGTATTAATGTGAAACGCAGTATTTTTACGGGACTTTTTTGTATTTACGTAATATAAAATTATCCAATTCATTGACTACAGGGTGATTTAATAAATATATTGATAGGTAATTTATCAAATGTGTCAAAAAAACAATTTTTTTAAGCACCCTATATTTTATTATTAGTCCTGTAAAAGTATAAATATTTTTTCAGTGGCGTATCATCCGTCCTGTGGCAGATATTTTCCAAAATAACAGCTCTTTTCTATGATTGGTTTTTGAGATACAGGGTATTAAACTTAAGAAATACCACTTATTTGATAACGGTTACTTCTTGAGAAAGCTACTCGATTATAATTTTTTGTGCCAAATCTTATTGTAACATCTTTTCGCATTCTACAGATATAAAAAGAGGTAACAAATTATTTTCCTTTACAGGGTGCGTTACAAATAAGTAAGGACGTGTTTTTGATAATTACTTTTATTGTTCTAAAAGGAAAAAATATTTCCTAAAAAATACATTATTGCTTTATTTATCATGTCTGATGATAATTCAAAAGATATTAAGTGCCATTTATACAGGGTGATTCGTAAATATCGACATGGGCCAGTAATTTTTTTTATAAGTATTAATGTAAAACACAGTATGTTTACGGGACTTTTGTGTATTTATCATATGTATAATTATCCAATTCACTAACTACAGGGTGATTTGATAAATATATTGATAGTTAATTTAACGAATGTGTCAAAAAAACAATTTTTTAAGCACCTTATACTTTTTGATTAGTCCTTTAAAACTAGACATATTGTTTTCACTGGCGTATCAATTATTCTATAAAATATATCTTTCAAAATTATAGCTTTTTTTTTATAGGTTTTTGAGATACAGGGTGTTAAACTTAAAAAATACCACATATTTGTTAACGGTTATTTCAGGAGAAGGCCAATTAATAATTTTTTGTGTCAAATCTTATTGTAACATCTCTTGGTATTCTACGAATATAAAAAGCTGTCAAAAATTATTTTCTTTTACAGGGTGATCCGCAAATAAATAAGGACGTGTTTTTGATAATTACTTTTATTATTCTAGAAGGTACAAATATTTACTAAAAAATAAATTATTGCTATATTTATCGTGTCTAATGGTAATTAATACAAAAATATAAGGTGCCATTTCTCTAGAGTGATTCGTAAATATTGATATAGGCCAATATATTTTTTTATAAATATTAATGTGAAACGCAGTATTTTTACGGGACACTTGTCTATTTACCAATTTACCATATGTATAAGTATCCAATTTATTGACTACAGGTTGATTGGATACCCAGACAGCACACCAAATCCTTTGGATATCTACTGAACATCCCAATATCCACTGAATGTCCAGTCCATGGTGGATATCTATTTTATATCCATGAAATGTAATTTATAGACATGCAAATGTCCATAAATAATTGTAATTATATAGCAAATTATTAAAAAATTACGCCATTGTACTCGCCATTGTGGCTAATAGTACCGTTGAGATATTTAAAATTAATTTTTTTTAAGGTGTATTCAATATCCCATGGACATCCACTATAAATATAAATATATCAAAGTCTAAGCGCGGACGCAAACCATCGTGGATATCTACTAGATGTAATTTTTGATTTTGCTTCCTAAGTATAGATGGCGATACCACTTTCGTATCTACTCATGCTTAACCCGCAGTAATTGAGTTTGATCGACATTGTTTCACAAACAGACTTCATTAGAGACTGAAGTCGAGAAGTTCCATTTATTGCTGAAGATTTCTACTAAGGATGATTTTCTCCTTAGTAGGCAAAATCAAAGGCAGATTGTTGGGATTATTTTTTACCTCTATTTTCTTTCGACGTTATTCAATAACCATTGGTTACTTATGAACCACTACTAAAAATAATTATAAAATATTTATTTGAATTTCTATATCCTGGGATATAGACGGACATTTGGTTGGATATCCACAAAATATATTCTATGGAAATATCTGGGATTTCTTGTATTGTCTGGAGATACTCATTAGATATTTTGCTGAATATCCATAGGATATCTTCTATATTCTGGATATAGACGGACATTTGGATATCCATATTAGTTCCACGGAATATTTCTGATATCCTGTGGATATATTGGATATCCACAAAATATATTCTGTGGATATCTCTGGGACTTGGTGTGTTGTCTGGGTAAATATATTGATAGTTACTCTCCCAATATAAAACTGCACTTAAAACTTAGATAACTATATTAATTAAGTCATCCTGTATAAAATATAATCTAATTTCATTACCGCTGATGAAAGAAAGCATGGCCCCTCGTCAGCATTTTCATCCTGTGTATATCGTATGTATGTAACATGTTTTTCCTCATTCAAGCAATAAATCTAGTAATAATTCATTTTCTTTTATAATTATACGAGAATAATTTCACCACATAAACAATAAAAAACAATATCCCAAACATGTCATTTGATAGAACAACTATTAATATATTTAACAAATTAATCTGTAGTTAATGAAAGTGATAGTTATAAATATGATAATAATTCAATACTTACTTGTACAATAATATAACTATTGTAGATACATACACATACCTGTCACTTAAAAATATTGCGTATCACATTAAAATATATTGGTCTACGTTGATCTTTACTAGTCAATCTCTATAATATGTTACTTAAAATATTTTGTTAGGTTATTAAAAACGAAAAATCTACCAATAATTAATTTTTCGGGAAATATTTTCATCCCATAGACAGACCAATAAAAGAAATTACCAAAAACATATATTTTCTTATTTGCGACTCATTTTATGGATGAACATATTTTAACCCCTGTGTATATTCGTGAAATGCCAAAAAATTGCAATTGATTAGCTTTTTCCTGGAATAACAGGTAACAAAAAATGGGTATTTCTTAAGTCAAATCCTGTATCTCCAAAACCTATTATATTAAAAAGCTGTAATTTTTTGGAATTTATTTTCTACAAAATGGTTGATATACCAGTAAAGAAACACCTTTATAAGACTAAAAGTACAGGGTGATTTATCAAATTTTGTTTACACACTATTAATCTATCCATTTAATCACCATGTAATCAATAAATTGGATAGTTCTACATAATATGTTAATATTATAAAAAAATACACAAAAGTATCTCAAAAACCTATCAGAAAAAAGCTATAATTTTAAAAAATATCTTCTATAGGATAATTGATACGCCAGTGAAAAAAATATGTCTACTTTTAAAGGACTAATCAAAAAGTATAGGTTGCTTAAAAAATAGTTTTTTTGACACATTCGTTAAATTAACTATCAATATATTTATCAAATCACCATGTAGACAATGAATTGGATAATTATACATACGGTAAATACACAAAAGTCCCGTAAACATACTGTGTTTTACATTAATACTTATAAAAAAAATATATTGGCCCATGTCGATATTTACGAATCACCCTGTATAAATGGCACTTAATATCTCTTGTAATATCATCAGACATGATTAATAAAGCAATAATGTATTTTTTAGGAAATATTTTTACCTTTTAGAACAATAAAAGTAATTATCAAAAACACGTCCTTACTTATTTGTATCTCACTCTGTAAAGGAAAATAATTTGTTACCCCTTTTTATATTTGTAGAATGCGAAAAGATGTTATAATAAGATTTGGCACAAAAAATTATAATCGAGTAGCTTTCTCATGAAGTAATCGTTATCAAATAAGTGGTATTTCTTAAGTTTAACACCCTGTATCTCAAAAACCAATCCTAGAAAAGAGCTGTTATTTTGGAAAATATCTGCTACAGGACGGATGATACGCCACTGAAAAAATTTGTATACTTTTACAGGACTAATAAAAAAATATAGGGTGCTTAAAAAAATTGTTTTTATGACACATTTGATAAATTACCTATCAATATATTTATTAAATCACCCTGTAGTCAATGAATTGGATAATTTTATATATCGTAAATACAAAAAAGTCCCGTAAAAATACTGCGTTTCACATTAATACTTATAAAAAAAAATATTGGCCTATGTCAATATTTACGAATCATCCTGTATAAATGGCACCTTCTATCTTTCGTATTATCATCAGACATAATAAATATAGCAATAATTTATTTTTTAGTAAATATTTTCATCTTCTAGAACAATAAAAGTATTTATCAAAAACACGTCCTTACTTATTTGTAGATCACCCTGTAAAAGAAAATATTTTGTTACTTCTTTTTATATCTGTAGAATGCGAAAAGATGTTATAATAAGATTTGGCACAAAAAATTATAATCGAGTAGCTTTCTCCTGAAGTAACCGTTACCAAATAAGTGGTATTTCTTAAGTTTAACACCCTGTATCTCAAAAACTAGTCATAGGATTTGAATGATCCCATGGACACTATTGCTTAGGAGGTCGAGAACTGTAACATATCAAAAATTTAAGACATTTAACAGGTCGCCACTTTTCCATAGGCGGTGGTGTGCGGGGTCCAAGACAAAATGTGCAAAATTCTGATTTTCCGAAAACTAAAAGTTGTGTGCTATATCGAAATCTATAATTTTTGTTTTTTTATATGATTTTTCTAAAATGGACCGACCGTAATGGAAAAATTGGAGGAAAAGTGCTAAATTTAAATTTTTCAGTATTTTCGTTTTTAATGAATATGTATAGAAAAATGTTTCAAGTTAGATGTATAGTGAAAAATGTATATATTTAGTTTATCCTCTAAACATTTATAGAGGTGCTGCAATAGGTTGTATAAAATAACCAGAAAAAGCTTATAATAACTAGATAGGAAAGTCATGTGTTGGACACATCAGATTTTTATATTTGTGTTCTATTTACATTTTTATAAGGCAGCGAAGCATAAGTTCATACAAAAATATATTTATAACCTGACCGAATTTAATTTTTTATGTCTTCGCCCCTATCAATATATTTAATGCATTGTATGTATGGGGTCTTTGGTGAGGAAAGGTAAATATATTAGAGACGTATTCTGGAAGTCGAAAAAAGCAAAAAAATCTTATGCAAACATGTGTCCGGCGGCACTATCAGAATATCTCCAAATTATCATAGAGACATAGGAAAAACTCAAGTTTTCAGTGGGTTTAGTAATATTGAAGATACAATCTGGGATATTGTTAATAAATATTTAAAAAAAAATAACATGAACAATTAAGATTTATTGAACATATAAATTCAATCTCAATAAAATCATCCCAATGCTTATGGTTAATATTGCGTAACTGTTCTGATTTCTCTCTAGAAGCCATAAAAAAAGTTTATCAAACATTGATTGTACCTTAGTTGGAGTATGCTTCTATAATTTGGTCGCCACAATGTCATATACACTGTCTAGCAGTGGAAAGATTACAAAATAAAATTCTTAGATACTGCGCCTTCAAATTAAATATTCGGGTAACCGATCACAATTATACTAGGATTTTAAATGAAATGAATATGAGCCGACTTAAGTACAGGAGACTTAATCAGATTTGAATTTTATTTATAGATTATTAAATGGTGTAGTCATATGCCTGGAACTCTTAGAAATGATTTCATTCAATATTCCTAATAGAGTCCTTAGGCAATTAAATATGTTCCATTTCACAGTGCAAACTATGGCATGCATTTACCTATTGAAAGAACATTGAGGGTAATAAATCAATTGAATCTTGAGGTTACAGGCATTTCTTTTAATAAATTTAAGGCAATCTGTACGAATGCACTGGAGTACAAATGAAATGTTACAGACGGATTTACAATACTTAAAATGCATTTATTAATCTAAAACTTATTTGACTTAATTTTAACTTTTTTTTCTCTTATTTGTATTTTTTAATTTAATTTATAATTTACAATTATCTGTATCATTCATATGTGTTTTGCTTTGTAATGGGGTTGATCCTGTATGTATTTGGATATTTTTAATTCATTAACTGTACTATATATTTACAGTTGTCCCAAACAGATGAACTGTTTGATATCGATTCTAAGCAAAATTCTGCCCTTACCAATGAAGGTGAGATAAATAACAGCATGCAAGAATCTGCTCAGGAATTGTTAAATTATTTCGTACGGATCCAAGGTCTGAATTGTTCACAGGTAGAGTTTCAAATCAATTCATTTTATAAAATTATAACTTAAAATACGAACAAATATGTCTAACCAAATATTGGTATTCGATTTATTGTTATTTATATTATAGATGTTGAGGAAGAGCGTGGAAACGAGGGATTGGCTTCACACCATAGAACCGAGGACAGTCAGAGCCGTTATGAAAAGAGTAGTTGATGACATTTCAGCGATTGATTCAACTGTTGCACAATTGTATGAAGATCAAGGAAATAATGGTACTGAACACAGTAGCGATTCAAGTCGAAAAGCCCATAGGTATGTAGAGTTATTAATGTTTTGATATTAGTTCATACAAAAGGGAAGACCGAAGGTGTAGTTTTCATTATAGTCACTTAAAAAAAAATTGGTCACAACTGATTCATTTTTTAGTGTATCTCTTCCAAGGCATCAATACCGTTCAAATTGGTCGAATTATGCTCCAAATCCATTGGATTCTGCACTGGTTTCAAATATGCACAGACTGTTTAGCGAAAGAGTAGATATATTTTCATCTGTGCAGTTCAATAAAGTTTCTATAATGACGGGAATCATCAAGATCAGCTTAAAGGTAATCAAAGATTATCATTTGTCATATAATATACAAAATTTGTCAGTAATATAGAAAATGTGTCACATAATATACCATTTTGTCACATAATACAGGGTTGGCCAAACCTCTGTCGTAGTTCTATAACTCCTATTATGCAAATCTTAACGATTTATTCGAAGTATACCTGTCAATGGTGGTCAAAACCAAATATCCCAAAATTATTTTCTTGTGTACAGGGTGGCCCGATAGTTAATTAGGCAAATCACTTATTTTTTTTTAAATGGAATGACCCAACTTTTTTTCCAATTTTAGGTACTCTATGGTCACTAGTGCATACTCACAAAATATTGTTTCTAACATCCTACCCCTTTCGCAGAAAAAGAAGAAATACCAAAAAATATTACATTTTCAGACGCCTATTAAAATATGCAGTGCTCTCTCGAATTTGACGTTAGAATTTAAAAAACTACAAATGTATAAAGCCAATAGACCAAAGATTTTTTTAGACCAAGTTTTAATTTTTTATTTTGTACAGGGTGATCACAAATTAATTTCAATTTCCAAAAATTTCTAGGACATTTTTTTCAAATTTTTCAAATAGAACACCCTGTATTACTATTCATCATGAAACGAGAATTTTATACCCTTCGACTTCTTCATGTACTTTCCTATACCTATCTGTCGTCGTTTAAAAGTAAATTCCAAAAAGACATTGATCTATCAAAAATCCAATTTCTACCAGTGGTTTTATTGAAAGTGAACATTCAATCAAGTAGGCTGGGTCTTAATGAAGTGTCAGATTATTTATTAATGAAGTGTCAAGTTATTTTTACTGATCGCGATAATTCTTCTATTAATAATGAATTTTACGAAAAACGAATTAATTGACATGGTCTATGTTTTGGGAGAATCCGACAGAAATTGTTTATTGGCAAAAAGAATTTATCATCAACGATATCCCGATAGACGCATCCCTGATCAAAAAAGTTTTGAAAAGTTACATGAAAGATTTACAGAAACAGGAAATGTTGCTTATAAAAAACCAATAATTGACAAACGTGCTACTGATAATGATAACCAATTATCTGTAATTTTGACAGCGATAGAAGATCCTCATGTAAGTCAAAAAAAGATTGCCGAAGTAGTAGGTATAAGTAGAACATCCGTTAGAAGGATTTTAAAACAGCATCAATATCATCCTTATAAAATACAATTGCATCAAGAGCTGAAAGACACCGATTTTGATAATAGAATGGTTTTTTGTAACTGGGCACAAACTAAACTGCAACAAAATCCTTTTTTTTTTTTTTTGATAGAGTTCTGTTTTCTGATGAATCTACATTCCACAAGAACGGATTCGTTAATAGACATAATTTCCACTATTATTCCACGGAAAATCCTAACATCATCAGAACACATAGTCAAGAAAGATGGAGTGTAAATGTTTGGGGAGGTATAATTGGGGATCATGTTATTGGGCCGTATTTTTTTGAAGGCAACTTAAATGGTCTGATGTATTTAGATTTTTTAGCAAATCATCTTCCTACTTTACTTGAAAACATTTCCCTTGCTGTAAGATGTAAGACTAACAATGTGGTACCAACATGATGGGGCAGCAGCGCATTTTTTACGCGAAGTGGCAGATGAATTAGATGAAAAGTTTCCAAATAGATGGATTGGTAGAAATGGTCCAAAAAAATGGCCAGCTCGATCACCTGACTTAACAAAACCCGATTATTTTTTGTGGGGTTATATTAAAAATCTAGTCTATCTTACGCCACCTACAACACCTGAAAATATGAAAGAAAGGATAGTGCAGGCTTTCCATTCCATTACACCTGATATGCTTAGAAACGTTTCTCGATCATTCGCCCAACGAATAAATGTATGCATTAGAGAAAATGGCAGACATTTTGAGCATCTTTTATAAAATGTAAATTTATGTTTTAGGATAAATTTCAAATAAATTTTATTATCGTAATTTTCTTCCTTTTGAATTTATTTTATAACGGCGACAGATAGGTATAGGAAAGTACATAGGGAAGTGGAAGGGTATGAAATTCTCCTTCAGTTGATGAATAGAAATACAGGGTAATACATTTGAAAAAATTTAAAAAATTTCACTCAAAATTTTTGGAAAGTGAAATTAATTTGTGACCACCCTGTACAAAATAAAAAATTCAAACTTGGTCCAAAAAAATCTTTGGTCTATTGGCTTTATACAATCGTAGTTTTTTAAATTCTAACATCAAATTCGAGAGAGCACTGCATATTTTTTTTTCTGCGGAAGGGGTGGGATGTTAGAAACAATATTTTGTGGGTATGTACTAGTGACCATAGAGTACCTAACATTGTAAAAAAAGTTGGGTCATTCCATTTAAAAAAAATTAAGTGATTTGCCTAATTTACTATTGGGCCACCCTGTACACAAGAAAATAATTTTGGGATATTTGGTATTGGCCACCATTGACAGGTATACATCAAATAAATCGTTAAGATTTGCATAGTAGGAGTTATAGAACTACGACAGAGGTTTGGCCAACCCTGTATACAAATTGTGTCACACAATATACAAAATATGTCACATAATATACAAAATGTGTCACATAATATACAAAATTTTGCACATAATACCATATGACAATAAGGCCAGGGCCACGTTAATATTTATTTTATTTATGAAGCGATTTGGATCAAATTTGAAACAAACGTACTAGACATAATTTCTAATTGACGCTTATACTTATACAACATGACCGTCTTCCGGTTTTACTGGAAATGCCATTAATTTTGAATATGGGTATGTTTTTAAGAATTTTTTATCTGGAAAGCCATGAAATGGAAAATAATGTTCTAACAGCCTCGAATAACTCAAAACAAAAGCTGTTTTACCAAGTGTGTTAAAAATAAATTCTCCAGATAAAAAATTAATTTCTAATAAGTGTTTTTCACCAAAATATCACCTTTTTAAATGGCAATTTCGTCATTCGATGGCAAATTTTATTACAAATCTGACAATATGTATCCACATTTTCTAGTTCATGGCCTCCTACGTCAAATAATTTTTTTGGTAGAAATTAAAATTTGGCAACACTCATATCGTCGCCCTTCTCACGAAGTGGCATAAGTAGCAAATAGTAAATTTTACAGGAAAGCAATAAAAGGAAAATACGTAATTCTCAGATTGACATAATATAGAGGGATTTAGAGTTTGCGCTTTCAAAATTTTATCATGGCATTCTAAGGCCTTGTTTTATTGTTTGGTAATTCCAGATTAGCCAAACTCCCTCGGGATTTAAAAAAAAATTAAAATAGTCGGTTATGCCACTTCATGACAAACAATTTTCTCATTTTATCAGATAACCTTAATTAAGTATATTTTATTAATTTAGTTGTCATTGTTTTTAATGCAATATTATGTATGTTTTTTCTGCCCGTGATTATATTTAGTACAGGTTTAGGTAATGACAAACAAATTAAACATATTTTAATGTTTTTATTAAGAAAAATAAACATAACTAACATAACTAATGATTAAAAAGAGTTGGAATTGCGTTTAAAACTATTATTCTTCATGAGGTAATTCCTGATAATATTTCTGCAATTCAGGTAATCGAACCACAGGCATTTGACTTTGACGATTTCTTACGAAGATTAGGTCATAATACTTCTTGCTTATTAGTTTTACTTGTTATGTGTTGAGAGATTCTAATTTAATATCACAAATATTTTCTGTCAGTCTTTTTATTTCAATACTGTCATACTCTTTATGGTAATGACTTAGTTTGAAAAAGAAATTAGAAGGCATGTCTCTTCGGACCATAAATTCTATAATTTAATTCCACTTTAAATTTTCTCCTGACGCACTTTCTCTAATTGATAGAATTCTTATAGGTTTTAACCATAGATATATAACCAAGACAGATAGGATTATTTACAAAATTTTTGAAGAATGAACGGTGGTGTCCGCGGTAGAAACTCAATAATCGGATTGAACATTGATGCCAAGTTTACGTGCTTTTAACTATAGATATATATAACCAATACAGATTACACAATTTCTGAAGTCAACGCGGATGATCCTCGACAGAAATGCAATATTTGGATAAAATTAAAATATTGATGCCAAGTTTGCGATGTTTTTAACTGTAGTAATGTTATTGCGTTTGCTTGAATTACTGTTAGGTCTTTAAATTGTCAAAAAAAAAAAAAATAATGTCTGAAAACAGCGAAGTAGAGTAGACCGCAATTGTGGAGGGTCGTATATTGTTTCATTCATAAAAATTCCTTCGATACAGTACTAGTCCAGGAGCCAGTGAATTTTTTCGTACTTGTTTTCCCGGTCCGTGTATATTTAAATAATCTATTCCCGGTGAACTGTATATTTAAAATGGAACGCCAATCTATTAACAAAAGTAAGCCAGATTGAATTCGCGCATTACGTCACATCGATACAAGTGAGATTGTTCACAAAGTGCCTTTGCAGGCCTATTTTGTCCATTTCATGTATTTGTTTTTAAATCATGTTAAATTACTATTTTTGAAACTCAACAAGGAGAAAATCCAATTAACTCTTCCGTTGTGTATATATATATATATATATATATATATATATATATATATATATATATATATATATATATATATATATATACATGGTGGCTCACGCTCAACGGGACGGAGCTTTATGGGAAAACGACCAAAGATATAAAAAAATCGTTTGGGAGGAATACGTAGGTTACAGACGGCTACAATTTAAAATTTGTTAGATGTATACAGGATGTCGCACATAAGAGAAAATATACAAAGTTATATTATTTTTAATGGAACACCCTGTTTTTTATTTTAGATTTAAAAACTACATAAAAAATAATGTCAGTTAACTAAAGGTTCCCTATTACTATTATTATTAGTTTTCGATTTATTTGAATTTTTAAGGAAAAAAAGTCTCCCAGAAATTAATTGTTTACTCTTGTTTGAATAATTTTTAATGAACTAATTTTTTTTTCTTATGTGGGACATCCTGTATACATCTAACAAATTTTAAATTGTAGCCGTCTGTAACCTACGTATTCCTCCCAAACGAATTTTTTATATCTTTGGTCGTTTTCCCATAAAGCTCCGTCCCGTTGAGCGTGAGCCACCCTGTATATATATATAAGATAAATTAACTGAAGTTTTATTAGTAAAGTATTAATACTAAAATTTTAATGTAATTTACAGAAAATAGCTAGGTATGTATTTGTTTTTAAATAATTTGATAATTTATGAAAAAAAGGAGTAAAAGTGGAATGACCTGTGGCCAGTAGGTCAGTCAATACAAAGTATCATATATTTCTATTATAACATAACTAAAATACCTACATCTTTTAATCATAAGGAAAGTTAAAAACCATTTTAATATATGCATTAGAATGAAGTAATAATAACTTAAAGAGACGAGGTCTTAAAGTAATAGCTGGTACAGCATGTTTTTTAAACGTTTCCTCATTGCTGCTAGAATGAAATCACTATGAAATGTGCTCTAAAAACGGCATTTATAGCAGTCAGTGTTCAGTCTTAGGATCTCTTCCTAAAGCCCTCATCCAAGCTGCATACATATTAAAAAATAATTAAAAAAAAAACATATTATATACCTATATAGTTTTCGGTTCTGGGTGCCCAAAAAGAGGACACTTAGCCGACAATTTGGCTCAGATAGCTAAAACCCAAAAGTCACACCCCGAACCAGGACGTATTGCTATCCTTTTAAGTAAAAAATAACTACAAATAACTTACCTGAAAAATGAAGGCGTCTAACTTTACACCAAAAAAACCATACACTTTTTCCCATTGTTGCAAGCACCCGATGACGATTAGGTAGATATCAACTAGAAGCATGTACTTAATGGTTATAAAGCTTATTTTAACACAAAAAGAATAAAGCACTAGTCGAAAAGCAGCAATCAAATATAAATAGACCACAATATTAAAATTCAAATTAAAAACTATATAAAAGACAAATACTCTAAAAGCGCAAAAGATCAGAACCAAATAAAATTAATAACCATAATAACCTAAAAATCACACTAAAATTGCAAAAACTATTACTGTAAAATCATGAGATTACATCAATAATGCATATGCGTCGGAGTATCGCAAATGTCAAAAGTACAGTGTTTCCATGAAAATTTAGCTATGTTTTTAGCAGTATTATAGGACCATTTCTACCACGCGCATCCAACGATATTGGCGTTCCACAGTTCACTGTATTTTCCTCACACCTCTAGTATAAATGATTTGATAACGAAACTAACAATAATTATAATTAATGTAGTAATAAGTGATTCGTGAATTCTAAATAAAACAATTATTATATAAAAGTGTAAAAGGAAATGTAATTTATTTCCCTATTTTCTTCTGTAATATCTTCAATTATTATGTTTAATTTCTATAAATAAACCAACTGGTTAGGTGAAACATTGTGATATAAGATTTTATTTATGTGTCCTATGCGTACACTTTAATATACAAAACACCTGGAACATTCTTTAAATAATTGTGGTCGTAGAAATAATTGTGTACATAACTCGTTTGAAAGTGTATTTTATGCACTTGCCAAATATATTATCCATACAGATTAAATTTTTTTACTTAACTTCAGTACATCTCTTACTACTAAAACTATTTTTATCAATGGAAAAAAAGGGCCGTGTTCTCGTATGTTTTGACGCATTTTCGGCCTCAGCCCATCGGATCCCCCCTCTAAATATATATGAATTTTGCTTAGAATTGCTAATCCTACAATTCTCTATTCGTGCTTGCTGACTGGGAAAATAAATACCGAAAATCGTCAGTGTCTCCTGGACTATACAATAGATGATGATGAGAACTTCACAACAAATACACTTTTATGAATGGCTAGTTGGGGATGTGGTTTTAACAGTTTTTAAAATCCAAGAAATCTGAGTACTTCGTTGGAATGACGACCTAAGGTTGTTTTCTTCTGGCCAATCTAAAAATTGGGTACCGTTGTGAGGGTTCAAAAAGATCCCCAACACTTATTATGGCAGTATTTATTGTACTATGAGCAGAGTCCCCCTCATTCTGCCCATGGTTTTTTTCTAAAAACCTTAGTGATATTTTATCAAAAGATTTTTATTCTGGCCATAGCAGTCGTCCGAGTAGAAAGAAAAGGTAGTAATTTGGTCTTTATTCGTAAAATATTCCAAAGATTTATAAATACATGTAGAGATTTCAGAAGAATTTCTGTTACTCAAAGTTTCATTCAATGGAAAGCAAAGACATTCTTTGGTACCAATATTGTAAAAAGTAAAGTTAAATGTTGCAAATCTTGTTTTGTAGTAAATAGCAAGTATATAACTTGTTGTAAATCGAAAAATCCACAGAGAAATTATTTGTTTTCGATTGTTCTTTTTTTGTCTACAGCTTTTAACTCTCGTACTTTTTGCTTCTCTGCAATATGCCGTGTGTACTTGTCTTTTAAATTTTCTTTTACAGTGAGATCTCCTTGAAAGTAAGTTATATAGAGCGAACAATGATTCTTTTTTGGATTGTAGAAACATAAATTTTGCTATTTAAATATTTTTCGGTACGTACTATAACTCGGTTTGTTAGTAAAATTTGTATTTTCAAGATACTCCAAAAACATATTGTACCTACATCTAAGTCAGAATGTAAGTACGTTCTTATAATTGTCGACGTACAATCATAAGATTCTACACAAAATAAACATAGCATCTGTTCAGTTAGGTTGCAGTTTATCCTGTGGATCACATATTATTTACTTCACTAAGATACCCAAAGTCACTTAGAACAGTTTGTGAGGAAAATATTATGCGTTATTGCAGATAGGACACAGAAGAAATATGCTGAATTGCATGCACTATTAAGGTTGTAGATGTGCCACTTCATGAGATGATAAAGTAGGTGAAGACTAGTTAATCCGCACAAAAAAACATTTTTTTAATTTTTGTTGGTTAGGTCACTTCGTGATAAGGGCGACGATATGTAATTTGAACCACAGATTCCAAAAAAATATCAGATCCACTTGTAACAGAGCCATTTAAAAAATTAAACTATTTGCATTGTCGGTAAAAATAGAAATCGGCCATTTTGTTAAGTTTTATTTAATTCGAAATGATTTCAAGTATGCTTGTTCCAAATTTGATCTTGCTTGATATTAACGTGGCCCTAGTGTCATTGTTACCCGGTATACAAAAATTGTCACATAATATACAAAGTTTATCACATAATATACAAAATTTGTCACATAATATACAAAATTTGTCACATAAATATACAAAATTTGTAACATAATATGCAATAATTTCTTTTTAATTATCAAAATATTTTCAGACTTTCATGGAATGCGTTCGGCTTAAAACGTTCAGCAAATACGGTCTGCAACAAATCCAAGTGGATACTCACTATTTGCAGCTGTATCTCTGGCGTTTCGTGTCTGATGAGAAGTAAGTGTGGTGAAAATGTTGAAAGATGTTTTTAATAAACTGTTTTCTTTTTGTAGTTTGGTGCATTTTTTATTGGACGAAATTCTGGGGTCTGCTGCCCACAGATGTCTTGAACCGGTACTAATGGAACCGAGCGTTGTTGATATAATATGCGAAAGAGGCTGAATTTATTTAACTTGGTTTTTAGATCATTTTCCGTACAATATTTTATGTTATGTTTCATTAATGTTTACAATAAATTTTTTTTGTTACGTCTGTAGTTTCATTATGCCTATCTCTAAATTCAGTCAAATAACAATATGTATTAACTACCAAAACAATCCATTGTAAAATATAATTTTCTGTAGATTTATAGTTTTTGGCGGGTACTAAAACGTACTTATTGCTGCTCCCACTTGTTCTGACAGACAAAGAGACGAAGCAACAACTTCTCGTAGGGTGGCTGCTTTGCCTGGATACAGCTAAAATTAAAATGAAAAGTCATATTGTAGACATACATTTTAATACCCGCCCAAACTACAAGTTTGTCCAATTTTGATTTATATAGCTTTTTATAAGACTGGTCCAATTTTATGAAAAAAATAAATGGAATCGGTGCGTATCACATGTGATACATACTTTGTCTTTGTGAGCCATAAAAGAAAGTCCCAAAGGTTTCCTATTGTGTACCAAGTAATTTTGACTTAAAGTTTAACCTCTTACTATAAGTTCTAAACGTTTGTACGCCGTATTTTTTTTATTAAAATAAATTATAAATACAACACTAGCTATACTTAATTCAAACTAAACTACGATTTTAACATACTTATGTATATCATTGGTGATGCCCACTTTACTTAGTTCCTTCCAGTGCCGATTCTTTAGTTTAAATTACTTTAAATTGGAAGCTTACTGCAATAAGTAATGCTCAATATTATTATAGTGACTCAGAATGAACACCCCTACCCAATGTATCACTGGTGACTCATATTAAGATACAGGCCACAGAACAGAATACTGAAATTTGGGCTAGAAAGCGAACGTGTTAAGTCGCAATTCTTTATAATTTGTATTTTAAGATTTTATATATATTATCAATCATTTTTTGTATTTTATTTTTTTTGAACTTGCCATTTTCATAGAAGCATCTACGAGTATAGGGACCATGCGTCATGACTTTAACGCTAACTGATGACAAAAATGTGAACTTTATGGGGGGTATTTATTAATGTTTTATACGGCATTTATTGTTTAATAATTATTAATTAAATAAAGTCGAATTATTTTCGTAATATCATTATCGAAAAAACTTGTTGCATCCGTGGATGTACAAACACATCACTTTGAAAACCTGGATTTCATTCGATAGTAAAGAAATTTTATAAATTTCCACAGAGCACAACAATTAGGCATTCCAACGACCTGTCAAACAATAGGTGCCAGTGGGAAATTCTTGTATATTTAAGGGGGTAGCGACATAGTCTTGCAACTTGGACGCTATTTTTATTCAAAGTAGTACTCGCCAAGCCTGCCAATTTATGAAAAAATGTATAGGTGGGTTTTTTAAATATTATTTTTATTGTGTTTGACATAAAATATTTAAATGTAATCCATTATTCATGATTTTACGTAAAGTAGATAGAATACACCATATGTCGCTACCCTTAGATATACCAAACATGCCCACTGGTAATTCATTTGTTTGGAATGCCTAATTAATGTCTCACACCCAATGATATACATATAATTACAAAGATTGCTTATCCATATGTAAATCAGACGACGAAAAGCGTATTTCACTGGGCAAAGTTTTCTTTTTATCGGTAGCTTGTATCAATTTTGAGCACTTAGTTGTAAAGAAATAATTTACAGAACCGGTTTAGAAATTAGAATCTTTAGTGTTTTCTTGTCATTAAGATTTTTACATATTTAAATGAACATTTTATATAAATATAATTTTACAGATAATTAATGGTTTATTCTGTTGATTAAAACTAATGTAGAATGTTTATTATGAAATAAGAATGTCCAATTTGACAAAAATATCATGGCCCTCTTTACAATTTATTAACTATTTTTCATTTATTATTAAAATAAACAAATCATAAATAATACATTGCAATTACTGTCAAACTTTAAAATAATAAAAATCCAGTGATTTTTTGTAAATTTTTTTAGTGACATTAGCATTAAACATTATTCAGAATAATAGATAAGTGTCCAATTACAACTCTTACCAAAGTTGTTTATACCTCATCTCAAAGTTGTTTACATTACCTTTTCAAAATTGTATTACATAATGCAATTATGTATTTTATGTAGTATTATTTCTGAAATAAGAGTAGTCTAATAGTTATTTATGCAACAAGTGCAGAAAGTAAATGTTGTCCAACTCGGCCTGACGGCCTCGTTGGACAATTTCACGTCGCGTGCAATAAACACTTTTTGCACGAGTTGCATACAATATTTTTTCTACGTTCATGCAAAAACCAAAAAATGTTTTATAGGACTGCAGTTGTATTATCCAAATCATAGTAGCCGTGATCGTGTACCTTTGTTTGAGGCATTTATTTACGTTTGTGTTCATAATTTGTAATGACATTTTTAATAAAATACATTTTTTTATTAATTCATTTATTAAATGATTGAAAATAATATAAAATATGCAATTGTTTTTAAAACGTAACACAGAAAATGAAAATGGACTAAATATTTGGCGTTGATTTGAATATTTATGTTTGTCATGATCATAAAACGCTGTAGTAAAATGACAGATGAGTGCAATAAAATTTTTATTGCACTAGTGCAATAAAGACCCAGTTTTTTCACTAAATATAGTTTAATAAAGTTTTGTTTTTTGCGTGAACTTAGAAAAAATTATTTATATCCATCTGTTATAAAAATTGTTTAGATCTCTTAATATTATTTAACTACATGGAAACTCAACTTTCCAAATACATAACATGTCTTGAAGTAAAACTATAAATATTTTCTTTTTCTAAAGATTAAAATACTGAAATTTTATTTTAAAACACATTTGGGCTAGAACGGCTCTATTTAGTGAGCACTATGAAAGGCACATTGCAACCCGCTTTTTAATAATTTTTTTATAGATGGGTGAGAAATCTATATGTATCATTGGACAACTCATAAACGTCAGTGGATGAATGACATTTCGACTAACATAAAGCTAAAAAGATTTATTATTATTATTATTATTATTATCAATCTTTTTTAATAATTTACATTTTTTAAATGTTATTGTAATACTTTTAAATTCAGTGTTACTAAATACCGATATTTTGACATTGGATATACTTGTTTAAGGTACAACTTTACAATTTATTGTCACTTAGCCATTTAAATCTTTTTGCTTAAAATGTATATACATGTCCAGATTTTAATAATGTTTCACATTTTACGTTATTTTGACCATGTACACGATTGTTTGGTACGGGCCGGTATCTATTTTTAACTATATTTAATATTTTAAAAAATATCCTTTATTATTTACTTGCAATGTTTACCCCATTTAATTCTAAAATTAAACACTAGAGAGGGCTAACTTCGGCAGTAGTGCTGCCTCTATATTTCACGCACGGTCCCTATAAATAAGTAACCTTTAAAAGCTTTTCAAGATTCCTTCTTTTTCGTACTAACGTCTACTTTACATGGTGCACCTATTAATCGATAGATGACACTACCTACTCTTTTTAGAAAAAATTCGTGACAATTGACATTGACGTATAGAGAACAGTAGTGTTACGTCACATCGTAAGTATGGACGACGTGTAACTTTAAAAAATTGTTCAATTTACAATAGTTAGTGTGTAATTGTCGTAAAAATGGGTGACAGTGTTAATATAAAAGCAAATTCGTCTCAGAATGAGCCAGCCATGAAAGGATGGCTTTTTAAATGGACTAATTATTTAAAAGGATATCAAAGGAGGTGGTTTGTGCTTCAAAATGGGCATCTGTCTTATTACAGGTTTGTTTATTGAACAACAAATGAAATTGTTGCTTTTCCTGATTGATTTTACCAGTAACTTCGCATGCTAGAATTGTAGTTTAGCTGTAAGTCACAATATCATTTTAAAGATAGTTTTCAAATGTAACAATGTCTAAAATCGACCAGTAGGTCCAAAAAATAAAAACATTTTGTGTAAACATCGTAAACAAAGATAAATTCATTCTTCAAACTTATTTTGCTTGAGTACCACCTACGTAAATCTGTTAATTTGTTGAGGAGATAGGTAGGAAAGTTAATGTAGAAATTTTATGCAACTGGTTACAAATACACAAGAAGTAGAACCTATGCCAATTTCATACTCTGCTTTAGAGCTTTTAGAAATATCTATCAAGCAGAGCTGAGACATCAAGCAAATCTTTTACTGAATGGAAAAATAAACCTATATGTTAGTAAATAAAAAAACAAAAGTAATAGTTTATAAAAATACTACTAAATTCATATATGCTTTCAAACATATACATTATTTCATTGCAAATATGCTTTATTTCTATTTATGTAAAAATTCTGAATTGAAATATTTAGATAATCTTGCAGTCATGCAACATTGTATCAAATTATCCTCTATAACTATTGTAATTGCAATATTTCAATTTAAAAGATATAAAATTGGTGCACTTAGTTCACTGTTCCAAATAAGAGTATCAGAAGAAGAATAAAAAAAATCTTATAGACGGTAATCCCAAACACATTTTAAGGCTCTTGAAATATTATAAAACTTTTCTAAAAAAATTGCTATTTTTTTAATATTACAGGGTGAGAAGTCAGCAGAGCATGTTTTTTTTTTTTTTTTTTTTTTTTTCTAAAAACTACTTATGCCTCATTTTTAAGCTATTTATAGACTCTTGAAATATTTTAAAACCGAGAATTAATACAAGGTGTTTTGATAACTTCGAAAGAATCCAGCAGAGCACCTCATTTTTTTATAGCCTTTTTATTAAAAACAACCACACCACATTTTTAGGCTGTTGAAATATACTTATATAACTAAGATTGGTACTTTACAAAAGTAAGTCTCTGCTTTCTTTTCTAAAATTTTTCTTACACCTTAATTTATATTTTTTTTCCTTGTAGTTGATGGGTTTTTAGGTGCTAGTGGAAAATAAAACTCGTGTGTGTGTTGTTAAAGCTTTCCATACTGAAATAGAAATATAAAATATTCATCTTTGAGAATTATACACTATACAAAGACACTAGATACATAATGTAAAATCCTATTAGACTAGTCAAAAAAGTGTTAAGTAAAATACATTATATATATATATATAATAGACAATTCATGTTAAGATTAGTTTAAAAGTTCAAAAAATCTTCTATACTATAAAATACATTATTTACAAGAAAATTATTAAGATGTTTTTTTAAATCATTACGCCTAATTTGATGATAACCTGTAGTATCTTCTAATATCGTCGGTAAAATGCCAAAACCACGAATGTGCAAAATTATCAATTTTGAGAATGTGGTATTTCGAACCTTAGAAATTGAAATAACTGATAAATTCTTACTTTCTGAAAATAGATATCAGTCGTAGAAGGGGGTTAAACTCATAAGGCACAGTCCTGACTTTGGCATTGATAACTTTCAAGGTTAAAACGTCTGGTAAAGTACTTAGGTGAAAAATTTTAAATTTGCACATTCGTGGTTTTGGCATTGTACCGACGATATGTTACTGAACTTATTGTAACACTTAATCCCAATATATTTTGGTGAATGCTGGCTTATTTGTAGTCATGAAAAAAGGTTGAAATTTTAATCTATCATCATATGAGTGCAGATCTTTATTTTTCTTAAATATATGCTCAATATCTTTTATGTATAAAATTAGTTGAAAAATAAAAAGGGAAGGTAGTGTTAAAATTTGCGTTTTCTTGAAAAGTTCTTTACATGATGTTGTTGGTGTCACCTTATACATGGCTCTCAGAACCTTCTTTTGAGATACAAAAGCTCTTTCAAAGTATGGTGAAGAACCCCAAAATATTAACCCATATTGTAGAGTTGAATGAACCAAACCAAAATAGCATAGTATCAAAAGATAGTGTCTCCCTTAAATTTTTGATGATATAACAACAAGTACTTAATTTTGAAGTTACCATTTTTATATGAGCTTCCCAATTTAATTTGGGATCTAATATTATTCTTAAAAAATTTATTTGTTGAATAGTTTTTCCGTCAACATACAAGTAGGGTTCCTAATCTGGTAATATGTTTTTGGGTAGAAATTGCATGAAGTTTGTTTTTGTTACATTTAATGTAAGTACTTAATTTTGAAGTTACCATTTTTATATGAGCTTCCCAATTTAATTTGGGATCTAATATTATTCCTAAAATTTGTATTTATTGAATAGTTTTTCCGTCATCGTGCAAGTAGGGTTCATAATCTGGTAATATGTTTTTGGGTAGAAATTGCATGAAGTTTGTTTTTGTTACATTTAATGCCAGACTGTTATCTTTACAATACTGGTTAAACTCACGAGATGCCTCGTTGCTACTTTGAGCTCGACTTTGAGTGACCTGTTCAATTTGATCATCTGCCATTACAATATTGGCATATTGAACTATTTGTTGAGAGCTTAAACAAAAATTACTTATATCACTTATAAAAACTATAAAAAGAAGTGGGTCCAAAATTGAACCTTGGGGAACTCCTATTGTACATGGAAGAGGATCAGATTTTAGACTATTTGTTACAATTACTTGAGTTCGATTTATTAAGTAAGACTGTATCCATTCATAAGGTTTCCCTCATATTCCTAACTCATTCATCTTCAATAATAAAAGATTATGATCCACCATATCAAATGCACGGCTAAGGTCATAGAAGAGTCCCAAAATATGTTTTTTTATCATTGAGTGCTTGATATATAAACTCTAGGCAAGCTGCAATTGCAGTAGATGTTGACTTATTTTTTCTAAATATATTTTAAGTATCTGGCAACATATTAAAACTTTCAAAGTAATTAGTGAGTCTAATAGAGTATGCTGACTCAAATATTTTAGTTATTTGACTAGATATACAGATTAAACAATAATTTTCTATATTAGATGCAAATCCCTTATTTTTAAACAGGAATTCCTTTAGATTCCTTCATATTTGGGAATAATCCCGAAACAAAGGATTCATTAATCAAATGTGATATGGGTTCAGCAATACAATGAGCAACCGATAACAGAATTTTACCATTTATTTCGTCAATACCTTCAGTGGGTTTAGAAGTAGTTTTTTTTTATTATTGTGATGATTTCACTAGGAGTTGTTGGAAAAAGAAAAAAACTTTTATGATGTTTATCAATACTCATAGTATAGTTAGGTACAATCTTATTTTTATTTACATTAATAAAATAGTCATTGATATAATTTACTTTTTCTAAGGGTGTTAATTTGTCATCATTTGTAAGTTTAATAGGATTCAATAAGTTTTTTCTTTTCCCCCACTCTCGTTTATTATATTCCAGGATTCTTTCATTACGTTATTACTTTTTAAAATATGATCATTATTTTTTCTTCTCAAATATTGTTTCGTTATTTTTTGATACTCTTTTTTTTAAATTATTGTAACGTTCTGTATAATATGTAGAATTTATTTCTTTCTTCAACATGTTCATTTCACATAATAGATTATGTAACTCTTTAATATGAGGTGGAAACTGATTTTTTAATTTTTGTGGTTTTATCGCTTTCTTTGTTTTCGTAAATACAATATTGTAGTGGTATAGGAATGATTCATAAAAGATAGAAAATTTATCATTAAAATTAGTAGATGTGTATACTTCACGCCAATTTTCAACTGATAAAATATTTATAAAAGTTATTGCGTTAGGATCACTTAAATCTCGTTTATATCTGTATTTAAATTCGTTATTTTCAAAATTAGGTAGTTTAATCGAACATAATAAGTAGTTATGATTAGACAAAAAAGTATCATATAAGTACATCCACCTTATCTACATCAAAATTGGTAAAAAAAATATCTAAACAAGTAGAGGTTGTACTTGTTCTTGTTGCAACATTTATATGATGTTTAATATTAAATTCCTTCAATAAGTCAATTAAAACAGTTTTTTGATTACCTTCAATTAAAAAATCTATGTTAATATGACCACAGATAAAATAGTGATTGTCGTTTTGATAAATATTATGAATTAATAGCTCTAGCTGATTTATAAAAGTGCTAAACTTAGTACAAGGCGGCTTATATACAGTAATAATAAATAAAAAAAGTTTAGAATCGATTTTTATTTTTCCACCACATACTTCAAATTCACCTTCTATACACCACCTATGTAAATTAATTGATTCAAAATTTGCATCAATACTAAACTTGTTTTCAATAAACATACTGGCTAACCGACCGCCGGCGGTGCTTGCATTTGTTGAAAAGAAAACCGTCTTCCGGCGGCATGGTCTTCTTCATACAAGAAAGCCGCCGCAAATCTAAACTGATTTGTTGATTAGGGCGGCATGCTATCAGTGAATTGAAAAATCCCGCCGGACGACGGTCTACTGTATTTAAAACATTGAATGCCGGTGTTAAGAAAAAATACTTGTAAAATCGTCTACATTTTTGTGGCAAATGATCATATGTCGTACGCGTTTTATTTGTACATCGGTCTCCTTTTGACAGAGTAGATGAGCTGTATCCAGGCCGTAAGGTGGCGGCGAAGCCGCCACTCTACGAGAAGTCGTTACTTCGTCTTCTTGTTATCACGGCATTATTATAATTTGTTCATGTATGTGAAATTTGCTTCTAAGGTTTATAAAATACTACTGCTAGTCACGGCTTAAATGAAAACAAACAAGACGCATTGACACAAACACCTCTTCTACCACAGCAATTATACATGCTTAGTATTGTCCCCGATACGCGAGTTTTTTTCGGCGACATTTAATGTTTCAAATACAGTAGACCGTCGTTACGGCGGCCTTATCAATACTCTGATAGCTTGCCGCCCTCATCAAC